TAAAATTCAGTAAAAAAACACTGATTGGTAGCAGGTACCAGATAAATATAACTAAAGGCCATATGTTCTTTTGTACATTGAAGAATGATCTTCACTTTCTGCTAAAATATAACTTGATATCCATCTTCTCTGTAGCTATATAGTATAAGTACTGGTACTCTAAAAAGAACAGAAAAACAAATTAAAAATTGTAGTCAAATATACAAGCTTGGGAGAGAAGCACACAATATGTGAACACTAAATGTTTAAGACAATAAAACACAAGAGTTTTGGCCTAAACAAACATATTTTCCATTTTCAGTGACATCTGACTAAAGTTTGCAGACGACTAATAGTATGAATATGTTCCTACTTGATAACAGTGGAGCCAAAGGCACTGAATTTATTAAAATCGTAAACCGTCTGCTTGGTAACAATGACAAGGATACATTTTAACAGATAAAATACAATAGGCAATCTTAACGTCTCCCCAAAGAATAAAAACATGAAGATAAAATTGCTAATGTTGCCATAGGGTACACTGAATCATATTGTGAACACAGATGAAGAGTTCAGGGATCAATAACTATCAAATAGCGGTTTTGAATAATTGAACATAATCTTATCTCAAATACGTTCTAAAGATAAAATACATAGTATGACAGCATGGCAAATATATGAAAGTGCAAACATGACTAAACATTGCTGATAATTCTAAAAATATTTGTTAAAATACCCCAAAAAATAAACACCTCTGTAAGCAGAATAGTCAGAATAGACCATTTCTATCCCTTTTGAGATACTGCATTATGCGTGAAATCATACATAAAAACAGAACAAACAAAGGCCATAGAGTTGTGATGGCATCAAAACAATGCAGAGGATTTGATAAACACTAGTCTGAGAGTAGTTTTAGGGTATTTCACGCTTAATACTGTGTTATATGCATTTGATGATGCTCAATTTTGTTGAACTATGGGTATCCCAACACCAATTCATTGAAATATATAAACAAAAGTTCAATTTCAAAATCAAATTATTAGATTGTAGTCGCGAACTATATTTTGTGTCGTAAATTTTGTAAATAGCATAATAGCATTTTATAACAACAGAAATTTACTTAGAAGCTCTTCTCATCTTATGTAACTTGCCTTTTCTTCAGTTTTCTTAAATTGTCACATATTTCAATGAGGTATTCACTCAATTTTGGGAATTTATCTGTTAGTGTAGTGACGTCCATCTTGAACTCATCGGCATTATCATCTGCTTCATCAAACTGAAATAGAAAATGGTATTACATATAACACATCCACATCAACTGACTGGAAAGTCAATGTTAACAACATAATACTCCCAGAGGATGGCAAAGGTAAGAACATGCAATTTACAGTTTTCATTCTCTAGATATTCAACTTTTCATCAATTTATGTAGTCTGCCATCTTGATTCTTCAGCAAAGGATTATGGGTAAAGTATGACATCATAGAATCTTTGTCAGAAATTGAGAAAATGATTTCATCTATAACTTTAAAAGTTGAACTTCAAATTGGCTGAAAGTTTAGGACATGGTAGCATACATGTACTGGTGCCAAACATGCTTATAAAATAGTTGTCATGGAAACAGAACTGAAAACATTGAATTTTATGTTTTTTTACCAAATGCTCAAATTTCCTTATATTGTATACAATTTACCGATGTGAGTAGATTATATAGGTGATATATTACATGTTGACCACAAAAAGGAGACAAACAAGTGTCATTCTATATTTATAACTATTTTTATTTTTTTTACATTTTTGGCAATAAATTCACTTTATGTGCATTTGCAACATTCTAATTTCCATTACTATAATTATATACATGAGTCATATGCACAACGAAAATTTGAACTAATTCGCATCAGTATTTCTCATATTATAGATGAAATCATTTTCTCAATTTCTAACAACAGATTCTATGATGTCATACTTTACCCATAATCCTTTGCTTGAGATTCAAGAGAATGAAAAGTGATATAAAAAAACTGTAAATTGCATTCTTCTACATTTTTCTTGAGGGATCATTATGTTGTTTGGCTTGATCTTTCCTTTAAAAACCCATCAGCACAAATAACCAGCATCATAATCAATATTGGTAATACCATTCCATTGTTAAATGATCATTTCTTTCTGTGACTGATCTTTGAAACTGTCTTCAAATTAAGATGAAAATTGTCAAAACCATGACATGGCCTAAATACCGTCAGATCGTACCTTAACAGTTGTCACCACGGTCATCAGTACACTCATTGGCAAATCAACCTGTAAAACACAGTCACAATATCAACATGATAGACATACTGCATTCAGAATTCATGTAGAAATTGTTTAGATTTAGGTATCACTTCATTTTAATATTAATGTTGTTAAAACTGGGATAAAATGTATTATTTCCATTTCCAGTCCATGTTTTACAAATTGGATGTGCAATTTTGGAAACAAAATAGCCATCAGTTGGCCATTTTTTGGTAAGAATACAAACAAAATTGTGCATATGTGTCTCTCCTTCACAAGTTATTCAGTCTGTGGTAGTCTATAGTGGTCCTTAGTGTAACTACTCAGTCTATAGTGGTCTATAGTGTAACTACTCAGTCTATAGTGGTCTATAGTGTAACTACTCAGTGTATAGTGGTCTGTAGTGTAACTAAGTGTATAGTGGTCCATAATGTAACTACTCAGTGTAGAGTGGTCTATAGTGTAACTACTCAGTGTATAGTGGTCCTTAGTGTAACTACTCAGTCTATAGTGGTCTATAGTGTAACTACTCAGTGTATAGTGGTCTATAGTGTAACTACTCAGTGTATAGTGGTCTATAGTGTAACTAAGTGTATAGTGGTCCATAATGTAACTACTCAGTGTATAGTGGTCTATAGTGTAACTACTCAGTGTATAGTGGTCTATAGTGTAACTACTCAGTGTATAGTGGTCTATAGTGTAACTACTCGGTGTATAGTGGTCTATAGTGTAACTACTCAGTGTATAGTGGTCTATAGTGTAACTACTCAGTGTATAGTGGTCTATAGTGTAACTACTCAGTGTATAGTGGTCTATAGTGTAACTACTCAGTGTATAGTGGTCTATAGTGTAACTAAGTGTATAGTGGTTCATAATGTAACTTCTCAGTGTATAGTGGTCTATAGTGTAACTACCCAGATTTTGCCAAAACCAATTCCAACAGTTCACACTGCATTGCGTTACAAGAAAATATTTGTGAATTTCCGAAGTATTGCATCAGCACAACACAGCAATCTGATTGGTAATTAGGCCAAAGGACGTTGCAGGTCAAATTGTGCAACATCATGGCGGAAAATGCGAGAGTTTGTGTATGATCGAACACATTCGACAATGAAGATAATGATGAAGATTTTGACTGTGTTCTAACAGAATAATATTTTTAATGTCGTAAATTCTGGTGGTACATAATTAATATTGTAACAAGCCATGCATGGCACAGTCCCAGTTAGTTATCAAATTTAAGATATACCATACTTCCCCGAGTATAAGCCCAGGGGCCTGAACATGTAAAATCGGGAAAAGTAAGGGGTGGGCTTATTACTCAAGGACCACCTCAGAAAAGTTCAAGATTTTTTTTTACATTGTAACCATGTCATTCATGTTATTATGCAACTCATTTATACGATAATGGTATTTATTTTTTTGTTTTCAACCACAAGAGGACGAGTTGAAGTTGGCGACATGTTATGAGGAAACTGGATTGAATTTTCAACACATGTACAAAAAATAGACTGGGACGTTGTGGAAAATAAAGATTTATTACTCACGTAAACATGTTACATAAACTACAATATAAAATGGAACAGACAGACTTGTACAAAACAATCCCTGCGAACAACAACGTCAGCACAAGAAAAAAACAAGCCGCCGTCTTCGTTTGTATAATTTATTAATTTATTCACGCCCCCTGCTTGACATACAAAATATAAATATGACATACATACAAAATTGTATTGAAGTAAATAATAAAAGTTAATTTCTACAGCTGGTGGAGAAAAACTTCTCAGGTCTTTGCTTGGGCTCTCATTTCTATCTTCGTCGATGTCAAAACCTTTAAAGTTTAAATCTTCATTGTTTTCTCCCTGGTCGTCGAATAGCAATCCAACGGCTTTGTTCTTAAGTTCTTTAACACCTTTGTATGATTTTCTCAGAAATCATATCATCATGTGAGCCATCTGGATTGGATTATTGCGATCGCTGTGACCAGGAACGATTTGATTATCACATCCGTGGAAACAGAATCCCCAAGCGAAGCTGACCCAGATGAGAACATCTTGCCTTGACAGCTGTTTTAGATGTACTCTTGTCTTTCTTCATGTACGCGATCTATTCCCAGCGCTGGTGGTCTTTGAATGGTTTGTTGATACTCGCGTCTATCCGCAGAACAATAGACACTGGAATAAAAACCAAATCTGTTTCACAGTTGTCTGTTGCCGATCTCGCCTGGGCTGTCATATGTTGCCGTGCCTTGTCCAATACCAACATGCATCGTACATCATCGCCATTCAAACCCCAGCACCGATTATACCAAGTAACTATTTTTTCAAACGTTGTCCATTCGTTTGGAATCTCGGTTAATCAGATATTGTCTGATACAGTCAAGTTCGCCATAACTCTGGGACCAATCTTCCCATCTTTTTCTTTAAAAGTAAACAAAGAAAGTAAATAAATTAATGAAAACGTAAATCATGACATATTGTGTAATTTATATTGCAACAATGGTTACGGTATTTGATTTCTGTCTGCACTTAAATAAAAACATCTGTTTATAAATTGATCAAAATAAATTACCTGAAAATGACAAATACAGGGTCTTTGTGACTATTGGCACACGCTGAGAGACACACTGTAAAGCCCATTTTCTTTTCTCAGGTCGATGTGATTCTAATACTTTTCTCGCCTTTGATATTATTTGTTGATGTCATCGCTGAGTCGAACCTGACCATTGTTTCGTCCATGTTTTCGATGTTATGTAGTTGTGATGTATTCTTTATAATCATCGGGAAGCTTTTGAGAACTGTTATAAAAAAATATATAGAAACAATTATTAATTGAATGAATCACTTGGAAATGTCTGAACTATTGTACTAAGTTGATGAGTAAAACATATTATGATAAAAATAGTATTCTTACCTTTTCATATCCAAACACTGAAATTTTTTTTCCTGCAATACATCCATCCATTAGAGCCTCTGAAATTCTCAATACTATGTTGGACTGCACGTTTTCTAGCGAACGATTGTAACATGTACTTTGTAGCAACATGACCTGCAGATCTTTCGTCGCATAGATATACAAAGACATCATTATCTAATTCATCGCTTGTAGGTTTACGACCTTGATGAATTTTTCGTTGTTTCTACACTAGACCAGCTCGTACTGCACCAACTCTTCATAATTGTTATTCCATTCACGTAGACGTTTCCTATCTATACCTAGACTTATAGAGGTAGCACGCAAACTGAGTTGTTCAGATATTTTAGTTTCTGCTGAACGATAAAACTGCGACGGAAAGCTTTAGGTGAAGACATGTTTCTAGATCACACGATACAAGACTAAGTTGTTTCCAAGTAAAGTAGGCCTTTTATAAGTTGATTACGAATGTGGAGGAAATTATCTTGATATTTTTAATGAAAACAAGTTTTACCCAAGCTGTCAAGAGTTGTTAACACTCAAACAATAGACACCTTACGGTACGATATTTTACCCAGAATTCATTGTACTTTGTACCAATGAGTATTGTGAACTGTGAACGTTCCTGATCGTCGAGCAAAGTTTTTTTACATACAATTTTCTTTGAAGATTTTGACACGTATTTTTGGTTTTTGTTGTTTTTTCAATGTTCAAGATGACGAAAATGCCAAATTTGAAAAAGTGAGAACACCGAATGGTTTGTAGACAATTTTATGCTATTGGGTCAAGCGATCTGTTCATTATGGGAATGACCTGGTTTTTGTTAATGCCACGATTTTCCACAGATTTTAAGCTAATGAAGGCTAGATCACATGTGGCTAATGAAATCGGCCAACTTACTGATACAATTATTGAGAAAGGGCCAGTCCAGGTCAAACAAGGTACAAGCGAGTTCCTTGACCATTTAATAGGTCACAAGGTAGGGCAGTCAAGGAATATTTTGATGCCTCTTTTTCAGTCTTAATCAGTTCAGAAAGGTCAGCATTTTCCAAGAAAGCCACAAGGTAGTCATGCCTACACTAGTAAAATCTTAGAACACAAAGCAATAAGAAAAGACGTACAAATAAAATTTAAAAAGGTGGAAATAAGGTGACAAACACAGAAAAGAGCTACGAAACCCTAGACAGGACATTATACCTAGTACTTTTTATCACAGTATTATTATACCACCAATAGGCCTACATATCAATAAATTTGCAATGTGTTTATAGTAATAATAAAATAATTAATTCACCAGTGAAATACTCAGTAAATACTATACATATGCAACTCAATGGCCTTATAAGGCTTGAAAATCATGAACAATATTTCTTCAGAGACGACAAATACTACTTTTCTGCATGTAAGAACTCAATATACTCGATCGACCTATCGTTGAAAAGTTCTTGAAATTTCCTACGTTATTCATTTTCAAAAACATCGACACCACACGAAAAAAGGAACAAAAATCCAAGGACAGTACCTGTTATTTTGAAAAAATTTTCTTATTATATTAATTTTTAGTGATGAATGACAATATGAATCTGCCATTTAACCATATTATAGACAACAATGAA